TTATAAGGCATCCTAATCCGAATACATTGGTTCATGCTCATTAAATGTTATTGAGCTTTTTTTTCGTTTCGATATATGATATACATTCTTATTTGGAACATGGATCATTTTGATCACTTGACTTGTTAGATTGTATCTATTGTGAACCATTTTACTTTAGACTCAATATTGGGGGCAGCGGTATTGAGATGTTTTTATGGTGACTAAAACGATCATGGCGTCCTCACTTATATAGTCCTTAAAGGTGGACTTGATTATGTACCAATTGAATATAGTGCATATGGATCGATCCTAGGAACCGTTATCAGATAATAAATTGTGGCTGTGGTTAAATCCGCGGAAAGGATTGTTGTGTTGTGCTTGCACCCTTTTCCTCACTTATGCCTGAACGGACTGATCATCCTTTGGGAACAACACGTCCTCGTGATGCAGTTTGGTCTTCAGACCCTTGACATGTCTTCGGGGTATTTTGACTTTCTTTTGGATTATCACTTAACGTTATAAATTTAAAAAAAAAAAACAATTGTAGCATCTCTCGTCTTTAACCACGCGGGACGAGGGTGTTACAATGAAAATGCTTCATCGGATATCAAAAAGACTTGGTATAAATTATAGGCATTTGATACTTAAGCATCAAGAGACCAATAAGAAAATCACTCAAATTTTCTTGATCAGATGGAAACTTCGTAATGACAGAAGAATCGATTTCACAATCTATACCAAAGGATCCAATGATTGTGTTACATCAGAAACCTTGTGTTTAAGGTTCGGATGTTACTTTTTTTCTCTTTTTTTTTATCAACCTGGATATCCAACCCGCTATGCAAGCAGACTAATCCCAGGGCGACCACCTGCTTTGCAGATAGCCCAGAGTCACCACATTTGAACCTTCGTAACCACAACAGGATTTTTATTCATCCCAGGATTTTAACTTGGGACCTCCTGGTACTTTTGACCTTTGGAGACAGTTCAAACCAATCATGCACCACCCTTGTGGTTCAGATGTTACTCTTTTGGAACTACATCTGATGGATGAGGCTCATCGGATATATTCCTTGATAGTAATCAAGAATTTATTTTCTATTCTAAGTGTTTGATCGGATGTTTTGTGTATTATTTACAAATCCGATGGTTGAGACCAACAGTTATCATGGTCTTAGTTCTTGGACTAAGTCAGACACACTATAAGAATACCATACAATGATAAGCAAACAAGAATGCTAAGAAGATTAGGAAAATTTTGAGCTTCTATTACTTAAGCTGTAGAATGCAAATTATGATTCAAAAACAAAAGACTACCTCTGTTTATACTTACTCTACGGATCTTTGTAAAGTTATAAATCGATTATTCTACTAGATATTTATAAGGAAGCACAATATGTATGAATTCTTCTGGAATATAGTTTTCTCTTCTTGATCATTTATTGGTTTCTCTTAAATCTTCTCCACGGTTCTTCTATCTTCTCGATTTTCGGATGTGACATTCTGTCACTTCTGAGTTTCAGATTAGCACTTTATTATAGATCCTATATTATAATTATAAATTTATTAGGATCTAGTCATGGTGGTTAGAGTTCATCTGACTTAGTTCCCAAATTTAGTTTGGAAGATCACGCCTCAACAGGTAACCGATAAAGTTAACTTGTGTAATGCCAAATATTTTAGCAATTCTCCAAATAAAATAAAGTTGATATTACAAACTTTTAAATAAAAATACAAAAATCTCATTTGAATGTCCACATAATTTATCAAAAGATGGAGTTTTGGAACTAATAGTGTTATTTTATTTATGTTGGGTAAATTATAGTGGGTTTATTTTTATTAAGAAAAATAAAAGTTTTATTTGGGTTTGGGCCATTAAAGGCCAGCCCATTTCCGTCTTTAAAATCTTTATATAAATACCCCTACATCCTTTGAGAAACTCCCATTTCCAAACTCTCTTAGTTTGAGCTTTTCATCTCTCTCTCTCTCCAAAACAAACCACCCTCCAGTCGATTCCTTCAAGCAAATCTTCAGGAAAATTCTGTCAATCGTTGAAAAATAATCAAGATTTTAAGACAAATGTATGATTCTAGTTATCTTACCCTTGTAAATAACAACAGTTTTCATCTTCCTACTCCCACTTCTTGGCTTTTTAGTTAAAATTCTGGAAAGATAAAGAGGGGAGATTATTCATCAAAGACATGAGAATGTCTTCAAGAAGAATGATAATCTATGATCCATATTCTTTTATTGTTAAGAAAGTAGGAGAAAGCCCCTTCGCATGCAAAGTTCAATCATGTAAAATATGTTTTGAAGTATGGAAGAATCTTGCATGCATCCCAATCGATTTGTACGTCTTCAAAATTTAATGAAATCGGAAAATAATTTCTGAAGACTAACCGTTTTTGGTAGTTTTAAAATCTTCAGAAAGTGTTGAGTAAATGGTTGTCACTCGAACAGTGTGCAATCTGTTTTGGGGGCTGTGTAATTCTATATTGTAGGGTAATAATGAGCAATTTAAACCCGCTCAAAAATTCTTGATTTTTGGAATAGTCGGCTTAGCTCATGATTTGGAATGATGTAAAAAGTGGACATAAAAATGACTTTTGAAAGGTTCCTACTTTTAGTGATTGGTAAAACCCAAAAATATTTGGAACAAAATGTATAATTTGTCCAAAAATCAGCTTTTGAGTAAAGGATTTCGATTTCTTTTAATATATAATTTTTGAACTATTTTTTTTAGAATAAATAATAAAATATCAACTTTAATTTATAAAAACCCTATGGCATTGCATGGGATACAACTTAACTTTATCTATGTCAAGAACCCATAAGTTATCTAAATTCTAGATGTTTGGTCTGTTTAGGAAGATAGGGCGGGCGTTGAAAGCTTCAGACGTCATCTTCTTGGATATTCACCTTTAAACCTGTGAGTCCCACGGCCTCACTTTTAATGTTTTGTTTATTTTATTGGGGGAAAAGCATGAGATTAAGCAAACTATGCATGTTTATTAATTTAAACCATTGGACTAAAGAACTGTTTAGTCAAGCTTTGTTTGAAACCATTGGGCTAAAAAACTGTTTAGCCAAGCTTTGTTTGAAACCATCGTACTAAAGAACTGTTTAGTCAAGTTTATTATGTCATGAAATATTGACTGTTTTGGCACTGTAAAATAAATGCTAAATTGATATGCTTGAGAGTATATTTTCCAAATAAAGTCCCCGTACGTAAAAGCTACTTGTTAACTCGGGCATGTCCCCGGGCCGTGGTATTGTGAATAGCCGCTATTGTGTTGACAGTCCCACCCAGAAAGGAGTACACATTACCTATGGTTTCTTGGTCTAATCATGTGGAATTTGGACCACCGCTGAATTAGTACTACTACGAACTGTGGGACCTAAGTATGTGTACGGGCTACTTATGGTCGTTCGTAAAATAATGGGGCACGTTGGTCAGGTAAGGCTCAGTAGCGTCTCAAGTTTGTACATCGTGGTAGATTTACATTTATTAAGTGCAAAAGATTACGCATAAGTTTGCAAATAATTGGTTTATGCATTAAAATGTTTTATGCATATGAAAACCCGTGAGCTCACCAACTCTTTGTAGTTGACTCGTTTTATGTTCTATGCTTTTCAGGTAACAAGTAATAAATTAAGTACTTTGTGAGCATACTTGTGGCAAAAACGATTAAGTTCGAATTGGAAGTTTCTATTTTGTAAAAGAAGTATTTATCAAAATTTGGTTATAATGTTAAACTCGATTTATTTTTGTAAAATCTGAAAGGTGTCATTGATTAACTGTTGTTGTGACTCGCTTACCTGTTACATCTCGTGTTTTCGCTTTAGCGGGGTGTGACATCGGAAAACCTCCTAACGGGACATGACAGACCGGTTCCTAAATGATTCTGTATTAACCGATTATTTTAAACCTGTTTTAGTTAATTTTTATGTTTTTATCCTGATTCATATATTTTCTTTAAACTATTTTGCTAACATCTTGACTAAAACCACAAGAACTTAAAATAATAGTCATGAAAATTCTCAATATTCTTACGGGCTATTTGGTAATTGCTGAATGGTTTTGTGCTGAACGATTAAATGGTCAGAATGATTAAGAGACTCTCATGATATAGTGCAAAATGAAATATAATTGTTTGGTAATTGTTTACAATGAAATTAGAGCACTGAATGGTTAAGGGAGACCGGTGATATAAAATCATTTAGAGGATTTTAGAACAATTAAGAGGCAGACTTTTTTTCTACTAAACAAAATTCACCTTTTAACGATTCAGAGACTACATCTTAATAGAACCATTAAAAAGTAAACAAACAACCCTTAGAAAAGTAATAGGAAGAAGTCCCAACGGCTAGCCTAATTCAAATTTGAACTGACAAACCGTCCATTTTACATGTGTTTCAATGTTTTTATAACGTTTGGCACTTAATTTATACATAATTGTAAGAAAAAATCATCCAAGAATATCTTATAATGTTTACCACAAAATGGCATTTTTTTAATAGTAAATTAAGTGTGAGATTTAAAGGTAGTTTATCAAACACTTATTCGGTAAAAGTCAACACTTCGCTTACCTGGGTTAGGTTCGTGTGAGAATGAAAGTTATGGTGGAAAACGTAAGAAAGATCCCCACCTTTCAATCAATCATAATTGAATGTCAACAGTAATGAGATGCACCGAATCATTCCCTTCTAAAGCCCAATCCAATTGGTGTGTATGAGATTAAAAGTGATCAAGGGAGATCTCTCCTTACGCTTCTCACCATAATTTTTCTTCTCACACGATCTTTCCCCTTGCTTACCTTACCTGGTAAGATTCTAATCCATCAAAAAGGCATCGTATGCAACAATTTACCTGATAAACGTTAACCAGATAAGACTTTCGGTCCTTGCTATTGCTCTGACCGGATAAAATTCTCTCTCTTTGTCATGTTTATCCGGTAAGTGATCCGATAAACGTTTACCGGATTAACATTTGGAAAACGTCCCTTGGCTTCAAAATCAGCAATAATGAAAACAAAATTTATAAACTACAAACATCAAACCAATGATCATACAAAACCAATTATCCTCCCTCCCGAAATTACACAAACACTGTGCAAGACATACTATAGTCGTATAATACATCACTCGATCCGTATTCATCGCAACCCATACAAACTGCATTTAAAGAAAGGAGGGGGGGGACCTCATGCTCCTAACAGAGAACACGCCTTTACAACACGAATTTTGAATGGAATCGATTGTTCTGTAATCCCAAACATAATTTTAAAAACAAAATGTACCTGACGTTATACGATCGAGATGACTTCTTCATCACGATGGAGTGGTCAGAATAAACAAGCTCGACTATGTATCCCGACTCCAATAGGTTCACGACATCCAAACGTATTATCACGTCACTATATCTAGCATCTGATCTCGTATGAACCGGCTTTGGTAATATACCTAACCCACTCCACAGTATTGTAACCACTCTTCTCCCATACCTGCAAAATGATCAGATGATGAATGATTTATCACTCACTGAAAGTCGGGGTTCTGGGAACGGGCTGGCTCAACTGGTAAGAGCATCTCCAACATATTCTATATATAACTTCTTCAAAATGGAGAATCAAAAGCTAAAATATCTACGAGAAATTCCATTCAGCTGCAATAAATTCTCCATTTTAGAGATTTCAACCTCAATCATATTATTAAAATTTTCAATAGTTAATATCCCAATAGAAATGAAAATTTACTCAAACTTGATTGGTGGGAACAATAAAAAATTCTCTTTCCTCATGCATTAAATTTTTTGAGAATTCTCTGAATTCGAAGATTTTTCTCTTCCCTCGTGTTTAGTCTATTTTAGAGACTTTGAGAATCTGTTGGAACAAAAATCGCTCCAAAATCTTCATTTTTATCTATTTTTGAGAATCTGTTGGCAATGCTATAAAGACCTTGGGTTGGCTACCCAGAGGTCACCAGTTCAAGTCCCCTCAAAACCATCGGTGGCTGGTAATTCAAGGGACCATTAGATTAGTCGGGGTTTTGGGGGTTAACAATATATAATTTGTTTACATCTTCAAGAACATGGAGTATGGGTAAGATGTACCTTCAGAAATCTGACTCGTAATCCAGATGCCGTAAACATAGGAACCTGCAAAACCACAAAGCTGTTCTGTAAGCGAAAAACATAAGCTAAGTGCACCAAGTAGCAGGCTGTAACTACCATGTCCAAAGACGAGACAGGACCCCAAAACCTAAATTATATGAGAATTTTTTATACCAAAGAAGAAACACGGTAGCAGCTAGTATACAAATCCAGAAATCAATGGAACTTATTAGTTTATCATATAATACTTCCCCCGTCCTGGAAAACTGCAATATTTGACTTGGTAGATGGTTAAATAAAAACTGTTTAGTTGTAAATCAAATGTCTAAAGGATCCGTAATATGGGCAAGATAAAGAAAACTTGGAGAACAAAATCGAAGTTATTAACCTTAAACAAAATGATTATTAACGCGCTAAAAGTAGAATTAAAACTTCCTAAAAATGTTGCATGTTTTTCTAAGACAACCCAAAATAGGAAATTTTGAATTTCTTTGGGGATTGGTGGACTGGAACCAAAAACGGACCGACCTAAATCAGTTCAGTTCCAGTTCTAGGATGTTTCGAACCGTACTGGGCCAAGAACCTTTTCTTAAAGAATCTAGAACCAACCCGAATTCTACAGTTTTTCTCGGTCCGTGCTGGTTTTGACCACCACTAGTCTCATAAGTTACAGATGATGCTTTTATATCATGAAGACTGCTGATGAGGGTACCAAAATATGAAGTTCAATTGAAACTGTTACCTGAAATTCCATCTGTATTGGTGGCCTAGTCCATGACTTCTTTTCTGCAATCGTTGAAATCAACTCCACTTCTGCACTCAATGTTGGCTCAGTTTGTCCCGGAAACTTCCTTATCCTGCAAAAGTTTTATATAAATGCATACACTAACAATCACCACCTAAAGAAATGAATGCAGAAAACCGAAAATAGCTTTTACAGATCAAGTTAAAGTACATGTCATATAATCAATAAAAGTTGCAGATTTCCCTTGAACTTAAAGAAAACACCTACGCATTAAAGTGTTTATAAAAATATTCATAATGCATGCTTGCTAAGCTACATAAAATAGAGCCCCACCACAGCCACAGCCACAGCCACAACATAAACGGGCATTATTATAATGGAATAAAATGTGAAATTTATTGGATGATCATGTGAAACAACAAAAGTGATTTAATGACCAACAAAATTAACTGCATTTGCAACAGAGCCGCACCCAGAATTTTTTTTAAGTGGTGGCACAATTTAACAATAAAAAATATCTACATAAAAATTTCACAATATTAGTATAGATCTGTTTGTTGGTTCCTTGTCCCTCCATAGAAGAGACCCTAGTTCCAGTCCTGCCTAAATGTCTTTTTAAAAACACAAGGTATATTAAAAAGCCCCAAAATTTAAGCTAAAAATTAACAAATTTGACACCAGTAAGACTCGAACCCAGGCCTTTTGTACAAAGGTAGAAGCATTAACCATCTCCACCATCAAAGTCTTGCGCTTAAATTTCAGTTTCAAAAACTATATGGTGGCACCCAACAAAATAATACGGTGCCACCCTTCGATAACGTACTTTTTCCCCTTACGACGGAATGATGAAGGAGTGGCCCGTGCCACCGTATCATCAATTCACCCCTGATTTGCAAACAAGAGCAGAACTATGCTTTTTCCAGTTTCTTGCTAAACCTTTAGATCTTAAAATTTCTGGCCCCGACAAACCAAAGCATATCCAGAGCAGAAAATTTTAGTATTTCTTGTCATGATTGTCGCTTTACAAATCTAGATAGTGACATAATATGAGATTGGATGCTTGTGATCTGTTGCAAGGACTGTCATGTCAAAGGGTCGATTTACCGATCTATTGTTGTAGTACTCCTTCAATCCAAAATAATTGCCCACATTTCTATTTAGTTTATCCCAAAATAAGTATCCATTTCAAAAAGTAAGTGCCTATTTTCCAATTCTAACTTTAGTTATGAAATGATGAAATTCATCACTCCCTATATTAGTAAGGGTAAAATTGTCACTTAATTAATTAAAAGGTGTAATAATTACACATTTCTAAACTGTGTACCTTTTCTACTGTGGACATTTATTTTGGGACAGAGGTAGTAATAAAGTAAGAGCAGAATCCGAAATTTGAAATAAAGGATGCAACATATCACAGTGATACTGTGATAGTGCAGTACTAAGCCAATGATGCTAAATTCACGGAGTAATCAGGAAAGTGTTGAAACCAACTCAAAGATATATTTGGATACTCACTTCCACACCAAGCAGTCAATAGAAGCATTATACTTTGCACGGCCTGATGTCACTTGAAAATTTGTTTTGGCTGTTTGTTTCGGTACCGGAATCTTAATTACAACTCCAAGTGCAAACATTTTTGCACCGAAGACACTCTTGACCTGGAAAAAGAGAAGGATAAATTTGCTACACTAAAAATCCATAATGTAGTGCAAAATTACATAATTACTTGCTCATCTGCGAACCTTAACATTTACTTCCATGCGTGTCCTCCCCAATTCTTTGATGGTAGGCAATACCCGGAATGGAAGAGTTACACCCTCAGTGATCCGATACCTGTGAATAAATCTCTAATTATCAACAAAAAATATGGGCTCTGAAAAAAAAGACCCTGATAAAAAAAGGAAATGGAGAAGAGAAAAAAAAAAACAACTATGCAAATAAACGGTAAAGCACAACTACAAACCAAGAAAAGGCTGATGCAACACCAAGTAGTCTTGGCCCAACTAGTAATAATCAGCCCACTGTTTGGAAAGTGTATGCTAGTAGGCCCAAGGCCCATAAAGAGAATTAGTTGTGTTTTGGTTATTAAATAAGGAGTGTCTGGCATGTGTGGGGGGTCATGCCAAATAATTTTGCAATTCTTTTTTCATATTGAAAAAGTATGAAGAACGGGAGGTGTGAAGATTCATACGTATTCTGTTAGACTTTGAGCATTAGATTAGAGGAGGGAAGTCATCCCTGGAATCCATTGTTGGATTGAGTCCGTCTTCATTTCTTCATTGTAATCCTCTATTTTACCTTTTCATTTCAATCAAATCATTACGTGATCATCTTGATTACGTAATATTGGTCCGACCTACCGGATGAGATGGAGACTCGCCTGCAATCTCGTGTGGAAAATCATGAGGAAAGGATTCAGCAGTTGCATTCAGATGTTCTAGAGATCAAGGAAGCCCTGAACTCTGGAAGAGGATCAAGCGGAACAAAAGGAATTTCGATCGTATATGATGACTTGGGTGAAAAATCAACAGGGAAAGGGTCCTAAATGGGTGGGACTTCTGGATCCGAACCTACCACTCCACCAAATGCAACCACAGGATCAAGATTCACTCCACCAGTTCCACTGTTTAATGCCAATTTCAACTCTGGAAGATTGGGAGATAATCAATTATGTGCAGCTAAGAAGATTAAGCTATCGGAATTATTCGGTTTCGATCCTCGAGGATGGATTGCGAAGGCCGAATTATATTTCGAGATCCATGGAACGTCACCTGAACTTCGAATGCGTTTGGCTCAATTAAGTATGTCAGGGGTGGCGCAACACTGGTTTTCGGTGGTGAAGGACATTCTCGTGGATCTGAGTTGGGAGCAATTGACTCAGGAGCTCTTACAACGATTTAGTGAAGTGGAGATCCAGAATCCATATGAGCAACTATCGACGATTAAACAGGTAGAATCCATCCATGATTATATTGACGATTTTGAGTATTTACTTTCTTTGGTTCCTAGACTCCCTGAATCCCAAGTTCTGGGATATTTTATTTTTGGGCTTCGTTCCAAAGTCAAACAATGGGTGAGGCTTCATTGTCCTCAAAACTCGTTTAGATGCGATGTACTTAGCTAAGGATGTGGAGGAGATGTTATATCCTTCAGAAAACACGGTGTTATCTGCCAGATATCGTTATCAGGGACAATCATTTTTCTGAGAAACGTTTGTTTGCGTGTCCTTTTAGTCCAGTGGACCAAAGTGTGACTAAGGCCCAAAGTTTTAATTCTAATATGGACCGACGACCTACAAGTCGGGTGGAATCGGCTAGGTCTTCGCCCATTGTGTCTGTGGTAGGTCCTCAACGAGACGAGACCACGATAAAACTCTGGAGTACAGAATCGGGGTACAAAATCTTTGGCGAGGTCTGAATGGGAGGCTCATCAGCGTAAGGGGTTATGTTTCAAGTGTGGAAAGCAGTTCGGTCCAGGTAACAAATGTTTATAGGGAAGTTTTCGGGTGATTTTGTTGGGAGACAATGATGAAATTGATGGGAACGAAGAACATCATTTGTTGAATCAATCGTAGGCTGAAATTTTTTCAAACAAAGGTAATTTTGATACCGGTGAATGTGCGATTATTGAATTTTTGGGTGTTGATACGAACTCTATAGCTCGCTTCAATACAGTCAAATTGGAAGGCTTACTTAATGGAATTCCTATCGTAATTTTAGTCGATAACGGTGCTACCCATAATTTCGTTTCTAAACGATTAACAGACGCTTTGGATTTGTTGGTAACGTCTTTTACGAGTTTACAAATCAAGTTGGGAGATGGTCATAAGGTCTTTGTCAAAAAAATGTTATGCGCTTCCAATTACTCTTGGAGAGTGCGTATTCACCGTCGACGCTCTGTGTTGGACATGGAAAATCTGGATATGGTCTTTGGAATTGAGTGGTTACAAACTTTGGGTGACGTTCACAATTGAGACTCAATCGATGCGATTCCAATATCTTGGACGAGATGTCTGCTTACAGGGAATTTCATTGCCAAATACGGTGCAATCCTCCTTACAGAGTTGGTTATCAACAGCTGAAGTGTCGTGGTATTCGACAGAAGGAGGACAAAATTCTGGAGTGTCTCCTAATCTTTCGACAAGTCAGTCGAAACAATTATTGGGTTTATTTGAGAATTTTGTTGCTATCTTTAAAGAGTTCTCGGGATTGCCTCTAATCCGAGCGAGAGACCATGCCATTAATCTAGTACCAAATCAAGGACCGGTTTGTGTACGTCCTTATCGTTATCCATATGCGCACAAATCTGAGATCGAACGTCAAGTTCGAGAGTTGGTGTCATTAGGGGTTATTCGACCGAGTAATAGTTCTTACTCAAGCCACGTGATCTTGGTTCGTAAGAAGGATCAAACATGGAGGATGTGAGTGGATTACAGGGCCTTAAATAAGGCTACCATACCGGATAAGCACCCAATTCCGGTTGTGGATGAGTTAATTGACGAACTCAGGGGTACTAAATATTTCTCGAAGTTGGATTTGAAATCGAGGTATAACCAAATCCGGTTCGAGAAAACGACATTTCGCACGCGTGATGGTCACTACGAGTATTTAGTGATGTCGTTTGGGCTCACTAATGCTCTGGCCACTTTTCAAGCAATTATGAACGATATTTTTCGACCTCATTTTTGTGAATGTATTGTCGTATTTTTTAAAGATATTTTGGTATACAGCCCCACATGGGAACAACATTTACGTGATCTATCGACCACTTTAGCCACCTTGGTCTCCCATCAGTTTGTGGTGAACCAGAAAAAATGCTCGTTTGGTCATACGTCAGTAGAATATTTGGTCACATAATCAATGGCAATGGGGTCTCAATGGATCCAAAGAAGGTCCAGGCGGTTTTGGAGTGGCCTACTCCCAAGCAAGTGAAGGGAGTACGTGGATTTCTCGGATTAACAGGGTATTACCGGAAATTCGTTCGTAATTACGAGTCGGTTGCTAAGCCTATAACATAATTGACAAAGGACAATTTCCTATGGAACATCGAGGCGCAACGGTCGTTCCATCTCAAAACAGCGGTCACTTCGGCTCCCGTTCTCGCTTTACCCGACTTTTCGTAATCCTTTGTGGTAGAGTGTGATGCTTCTAGTCGAGGAATAGGAACAGTTTTGATGCAACAGCAACGTCCGATAACATTTTTAGTAAAGCCTTGAGTGATCGAAATTTAGCCAAGTCGGCATATGAAAGTGAAATTATGGCTCTAGCTCTTGCGGTGCAACACTGGAGAAGTTACCTGTTCGGTACTACTTTTACGGTGTATATGGATCATAAAAGCTTAAAACACTACATCAACACATCACTACTCCTAATCAACAAAATTGGGTCGCTAAATTGTTGGGTTATAATTTTGAAATCCGTTATAAGGCAGGTCGAGAGAATAAAGCAGCTGATGCTTTATCAAGATGAGATGACGTCATGACGAAGTGGAATTTCGAACAATGGTTTACCAACCGATTTGGTTCAGGGGGTTGGGTTATTGAAGGAAGCAAAAGTTGACCCGACACTACAAGAATTGATTCAGAAATTTCAACAGAACCCCAATTCGATTCCAAGTTACACGGTTCACGCGGGTATTTTGTATCACAGGAATCGATTGGTCATTCCTCAAAATTCTAAGTTCATTCCCGCATTGTTGGAGGAGTTCTGTAAGTCGGCCACCGGGGGACATTCGGGTTACCTCCGTACTAATCGTCGACTTACGTCAAACCTATACTGGACAAGTATGAGTTCTATGGTCCAACGGTTTGTGCAAGCGTGTGACATATGCCAACGTTGCAAATCGAGTTCGCTTACTCCACCAAGCTTATTACAGCCGTTAGACATTCCAGAGGCAATTTGGGAGCATTTGTCTATGGATTTCATCCTAGGGTTACCTAAATCGAAGGGTTTTGACGCTTGCTTGTGGTGGTTGATCGACTATCTAAGTATAGTCACTTTATTTTGCTTCGACATCCTTACACGGCTCAATATTGCCGACATTTTTGTTCGAGAATCGTCCAGCTTCGTGGCATTCCTAAGTCAATTGTAAGTGATCGTGACCCTCTTTTCATGAGTCGATTTTGGCAGGAACTTTTTCGTCTACAAGGCACTCGTCTCTACATGAGCTCCTCTTACCACCCACGAACGGATGGCGAAACGGAGGTGATCAACTTTTTTTTAGAATCCTATCTTCGATGTTTTGCAATCGATCAGCCCCGTTCTTGGTCTCTATGGATTCCATGGGATAAGTTTTGGAACAACTCTACTTTTCATGAATCTACAGGTGTCTTACCGTTTGAAGTGGTTTATAGGCGTAAACCACCTAACATCTCTCAATTCATACCGCGGAAAGTACGGGTCGAAATGATGAGCCAGGAGCTTCAAGACTGTGATGAAGCTCCAAGACCATGATGAAGCTCTTAACTCTTAAACAATTGAAACTTCATTTGGCACAAGCTCAGTCGGCAATGAAACCACAGGCTGATAAGAGGCGTCGTGATGTCGACTTCCAGGTAGGACAGCTTGTTTATGTTAAGTTACGTCCTAACCGTCAGTTACCGGTGGTTCAGCACATCAACCAAAAGTTGGCTTGCTCGTTTCTATTCGAGATCCTGGAAAAGATTGGTCCAGTTGCATATCGTCTTAAATTACCCCAGAGTCAAAAATCCATTTGGTGCTCCATGTATCTCTGCTAAAGAAGGTTGTGTAGAACGTTAATATAGAACCTTCGTTACCTTCTAAATTTGATTTAAATGTCGCAGATCAGTTAGTTCCCGAGGCGATTCGAGCGACTCGTTCCTGTACTTGACATGAAGAAACAGTGCAACAATGGCTTATCCAATGGCGGGGGCGTTCGCTAGATAAAGCAACGTGGGAGGATGCTATGAATATTCAAAGTCGGTTTCTGGATGCTAGTCTTGAGGACAAGACCATTTTTGAAGGGGTACCAAATGATATAACACCCAACTAGTCTTAGCCCAACTAGTAATAATCAGCCCACTGTTTGGAAAGTGTATGCTAGAAGGCCCAAAGCCCATAAAGAGAATTAGTTGTGTTTTGTTTATTAAATAAGGAGTGTCTGGCATGTGTGGGGGTCATGCCAAATAATACGTATTCTGTTAGACTTTGAACATTAGCTTAGAGGAGGGAAGTCATCCTTGGAATCCATTGTTGGATCGAGTCTGTCTTCATTTCTTCATTGTAATCCTCTGTTTTACCTTTTCATTTCAATCAAATCATTACGTGATCCTCCTGATTACGTAACAAAGGCATTAGGTGCAAAGAGTGTCAGCATACCAATCTACTATTACTTAAAACTGGGGAAAGACAAACAGCATTGTGCTTACGTGAGAAGAGAAATAATATGCAAAAATATTAACAAGATCATCGAAAGTAACAAGATGAATTAAACTAGATCAATACAAAGGCCGTCCACAAGAAAAAACAGTGTGATGAGAGGTTTGGTAGTTCCTCTCTATAAGCCTTTGCCTTCTTGTTGTTGTATATCTAATTTGTACACATCTTCTCTTTATTTTTAGGGACTTCGGTGTGTTACAGACAGAGTTCGAAAAGCAAATTTTTTAAACAAATTCTTCTTTATTCATGGGTAATGAGTTTTGAAGTATTGGGTGTGGCTGTATTTGTAGAAGCTTTGATTTTCGTGCTTATCTTAATTGTTGGAATAGTATAAAGCCACTTAGCGTATAGCGTTTTTAAGTATACACTCGGTGTATACTTCATCGAAGCAGAGTTTTTCTAAAGTAGACAATGATACCCTTCTTGCTATTATTTCCCCAAAAGCTGGTAAATTGGGAGGATAGGTAAAAGATATTCTTTGTTGTCCTTCATCAATGTTGTTTTTCAACTGGGGCATGAGCTAACTATTGAGATTTTTTGGACTTTGCGGACACATACTTTTTGAAACGGTTCACGCCTGTTTTACAATGACCATCCCTGGATTGGCTTCATAGAGTAAGAGCACGACTCATGATGATCAACGATATCAATCAAATTGAGACAAATTGACAAAGTAAATATAAAATATAAAAAAAATCAAAATTTCAAAAAAGGATGTTTGTCTTAGCATACATGGTACATGTTATAAATTGGCTGACACAGTGCAGTAAAGTGATTTAAACATGAGCTAGAAGAACACTTAAATCAAAAGGCATAGCAAACTTACTTCATCAGTTCGAATTCACCATCCGGGGGCACAAAGCTCACAGTCTTCTCTGAATTAAACCTGGTCAAGTTTACACATTGATGGAAAGTAACATCATCGAGCTCAATACTTTTGCCACTGCAATAGATTGCAAAGTCGAAGCATTAGATCATCAAACTGATTAACGGAATTATCGCATAATCAACCGACCATAATAGGATCAACATCCAACAGTTAAAACTTAGGGTAAAATGAACGAGATAGCAACTTACTTTCATAAATTTCCTTATTATAGTATTGTACTTTTACAGTTTTTTCTTATTAGAGCAATGTACTTTCAAATTATTTTTATTAGGGCATTGTAGTTCAAAAAATTTACTTATTATAGCATTGGCTAACCTTTTGATTTAAATGTACCCATTATACTAGGCTTCCATGCCACCTCATTGTCCACTTAGGCTGTCCAATGTCCACATGTATTATACCGCTGACATGGCATTTCTTATTACAGCATTGTACTTTCAAAAATAATTTTATTATAACATCACTAGTTCCACGACGTTGTACTTTTAGTTTTAATATTTTATTATTGAGACATTGTACATTTAATCAAACATGTTAAACTAAATTTAGTATCTGTTTCTAATCTCAAATTTTAATTAAAAAATCAGTCTCACAAAATCGAGATTATAGCAATGGGTAACCTTTTGATTTGAATTAAGATGACATGACACAAGTTACCATGTTTCCATGTCATGTCATGTCATTGTCCACATGGGACGTCCATGTGTAAAATTTTGCTGACATGGCATTTCTTATTACAACATTATACTTTGAAAAAACTTTGATTTTACATATTATTTAATAAATATATTAAATGAATTAAAAAAATTCTACTTTATTCATTATTATACCAATATTAAGAAAACTAGTAAAACACAATTTATCTCGCTAACAAATTTAAAAAATGTGTTTTTTGAAAGAAGAAAATAAAATTTGTTATGTTCTCTTTACCAAAAAATATTTATCTTTTAAAGAATATATCATACTTTTTTAAAAAGTTTGAGTTGACATAAATATGTTAAATTGATTAGATTTTTTTTATATTCATTAATATAACAATATAAAAAAAAACTTGTAGAGCACGATTTCTCTCTCTCATTAAAAAAACCCCTTTAAAGATATGTATTTCTCTGAACAAAATAAAATAAGAAGTGTTACATTTTTTTTACAAACAAAATAGGTATCTCCAAAATCATATATCATATTTATTTAAGAAATATTTTACTCAAAATATTTAATTTGCATGCTATTTAATAAGAAAAAGTTACAAAATGAAATGTCTTTTTAAATCGTAGCAATGAAAAGTGAATCATTAAAAATAATTTGAAAGAGATTTTTTTATATTTTATTTTAGCCATGTTATCAAAATGATATGTCGTCCACATCACCTCATTTAAGCCAAGGAAGCAAAAAAAAGGTAACGGATTAACCGGTTTAAAAGGTAACAAGTTACTCATTGCTATAATGGGTAGATTTTCCAAAGTACGATGCCCTAATAAAAATTAATTTGAATGTCCATTGCCGTAATAAGAAAAAGATGGAAGTATAATACTATAACAAGAAAATTAATGAAAGTAGGTTGTTATTTCATGCATTTAACCCTAAATCTTATTAGAAGCAAATTAGACTTCCATGAGATCATTGGACGGTGACCAATATCTACATATCATATGTCATGGTTTGGCTATTATAAAATTTACAGAAAAGGTCTTGAAAAGGCAAACACTAAGGCATCATCCATCCATGTCAACTTTCCAGGCCTTTTGGATACAGTAGAAACATACAGGTTTTCAAGGAAAAGATCCCTTGAAAATGAAATAGTGAGAAAAGGGTAACGACGCCAAATCAAGCATACAAAAGTAAAGCAAATGGATGAATGAGGAAACATATAATCTGGTGGATGAGAAATAAATGACTTCAAAAATTACCTCTTAGTAGGCCGTGACTTAAGTTGAGACTCTTTCTCAAGTCCAATTTTGTCATTTAATCCCAACTTCAAATCAGGCATTCCCGAAAGGAAACATTTCATAAGAACTTTTCCAGTTACGTCACAACGTAGTACACTACCTAGAGCACCAAATTATGTGTCAAGAAATGACATGTAATATATAGCTATACGCACATATGAAGCACAATACAACTGTACCTTTTGAAGACATAAGAAGATTAACACTTTCCACAATATCCAGAAACACCTGCAACCAAAAGTTATCATGATCTAGCACAAGAGAGCATTCACATAGATAGGAATAGATGAAGATAAAACAAAATCTGGTCACCTCATTCTTTTTATAAACAAGACCCTCTCTACGCCAGCCAACAGCACCAGTTACTTGTAAAGTTGCATTGGGAACAGGCTTATCTGTAGGCTGTTAAAGTTTATTGATAAACAAGAAACAAGTCAGCATATATATGATATCTATCAAAAAGAAAATACAGTTTTGCCAAAAAAGATCGTTAATCCTCAGGACAGCACATGTCCTGCATATACTCGAAGACAGACAAGTTTAAGTAAAGGATCAGATCTAACCTTGGATGAGAATGGTGACCGTACACCTTCCTGAGTAATGTAAAGCTTCAATATTTCAGGGGAAAGATTTTGTGGATAACCGAAGTCCATAATTTCTGCATATCGGATATAGATATAAATAATTTGCAGTGGAAAACAAAATATAATCCTATAAAGAAATAAACGTGATGATGGCTTCCTTTGTAAAGCAGATAGGTTGATGTAGAAATGACACATTCTGACACATTCAATTCACAGAACGTGCATGAGAAAGAGGTTCAAATGCTTGTGCAAAAGAAAATAGAAGGAAAACAAAAATGGTTCAAATTACTTCAGTTTCGTAACTTTATTTTTTGGTGCTGACCAAAAACAAGTAACCAGATGATGCTCAAATGTATATGCACCAAAGCAAAAAACAGAATAGAAGCATCACTAAACAATGTGACTGGTGCATATAATATACAAACTTCTGCATATATTTAGAATCTCTTGGTAAAATATATACTATAGGAAATAATAAAATAACTCGAAGAAAGGTGTTGGAAATTGGTACCGTCCAACAACTCGTATATCAAAACAAAGTTATTGCGGATGGCATCCTCATCGAAAGCACCCCCAAAGTAAGATTTGAATAAAGAAACGGCCTGCATGAGGAGAAAAAAAAAAGTTAAGAATGCAACTTTAAAGAGCAGCCAATCCATGGTCAACTACTTTATGTTAGATAGAGGAAAAAAAGAAGTGAAAGCTATGCAAAAGCACACTAGAGAGGATTTAGAGAAGTTTTAAAATTAAACTTTGTTTCCTATAGCTTTTATCTTTTGGTATTCGTAATCGTTTATGCAGGGTTTTCTTACCTAAAACGGTAAAACTAAAAGACCAACTTACTAAATGTACTTCACCACAAACAGCAAAATTTTTCCGCCAATTTGATGCACATACGAAGCTTTAATTAATGTTTGTTCAAAAGGCAAGAAATAATATTATCATTTATGGATTGGTATTACAAATTCCTTCACAGTTGCAAACAAACAATATCTTTGCATCCACATATTAAGTAATAACCTGTTGAGTCACAAACACCCTTGCAAACTACTAATCTCTGATTGCAATTAAACGTTTCAATCCATCTAAGTGACAAGAAATCTTAAAGCCAATTGAACTGGTTTTATACATCTTGGGTAACATATGTTAAGTTCAAAACCATAATGAAAAGACAATAAAAATTATCGAGCAAAAGTATTACAAACTGCTACCTTTTTCTAAAGAAAAAAGACAGCAAACATAAATCTAGTAATCAAAATTCATAAAGTATTCCCTGGGCTTTGACACTTGTTTCAGTTGCATTCCGAAACCAAAAAGTTATCAAATCATATACTTAGGCAACGCCAATCATATTAAGTACAGCATTTTCATTGAAAGTGGTCTACAGGCACTAAAGAATATTGAACCTTAAAGTGAGCCATTAATTAAATAGTGTTTGTTTTAAAAAAATATTAATGTTGTATCGAATTATGGTTTTTCCTCCTCTGCTTCCATTCATTTCTTATTGACAAAGCATTGAAATGAGTTGCATTAGCCACTAGTTATTATATACAGAAATTACTGATTTCCAGTTTGTATGCCTGCTGGAATGGAACTAGTAACAGGTCATTCAAGATTCATTGTCAATAGATATAACGAAGACCAAGTAGAGGACTCGGGAGAATTAAATCATGGAAAATAGTCGGAATTAGAGGGACTTGATAAAGTTATCACTTATCAGTCTTGGGGATCCCAAGAATGTCAATCTGAAATTCAAACAAAATTTAACGTCTTTGTCATCACATTGGCCTTTTAACAGAAAGCTAAAGCAGCAGTAGAGAAGGCAACCAGTTATTGGACAAGAAGGGGAATGAAGAGGTTCTCTTGTGTTCTTGGAAACACATTCTAGTCTCAAGATGTGAGGAGTAACCGACTACAGCATATTGGGCATTCCTCTGAGTTGGATAGTTAATTCGTGGAATATGGTTGAAATCAGATTTTCAAAGTGGTTTACTAATATCAAAGCAACGGATGCTCCAAAGTGTTATCATGATGCTAACCTTGTCTGCAATAACCACATCAGGGAATAACATTTTTTTCCCTGGTTACAAACATCAAGTATTGACTGCCCTGAGATGATTGGATTGCCTAGTAATCTCACAAATCTCAAGACTTAATATACATGTATGCGTATATGGGACTCAGAAGAACTGGTTTATTTGGATAACCAAAAAGGGATGGGAAAGCTTTCACCTTCATCAATTCGTCGTCTAAACCTAAGATGCATAGCAAAATCTAATGGCACTGCAAAATCTTCATATTCACACTATCCACATCAATAATAAACGGTAACAAGCCCCCTCCCCTTCTTTCCAAGTCTCCAGTTATTAAAAATATGGCTTCTACAAAATAAAAGCATGCCAACAGGCATATATCAATTGGAACTCAAGAATGGTGTGTTTATAGAATATTTAGTGGAATGCATATCCGTTGTTAGCAATGAACGAATTGAAGCCTCTCCTAAGATGGGAGTACAATAACAATGATTATCACATGTTTTATGTCTACCTGCATGTTTCGCTCAAACAAACTCAGTTCATGCTGATCCCTTTAGTTAGGCAATCAGATGATGATTTTATTGAAGTGATGAAACTGATGCTTGTGGTGGTCCAAGCATGTGATTGACAAAATATATTCAGGTATACCGATGCAAAAGGAAACTAAAAACAATAAGTTCAATGACTAGTTTATCTAGTTTTCATGTCTTTCATTAAAAAAGGCCTTTCTCGCACTTTCTCCCTTTCCCACACTCAAGATAATATGTCGCTTGAGTTCAATTTCTCCACTAGCCACTGCCCCTTGGCCAGCCAGGCACAAGCGGTGCATTTCACTTCAAACACATACGTTGTGACTTGGTACATATTGGCCCCTCCTCGTAGGGGTGTGCAAAAAGTTATTCAATCCAATTACAACGAACTGGGCCAAAATTGGATATCTATATGTAATTGGATTAAGTCGGATCCACATAATCGGATCGGTCTGTTGTCAGATTAGTCCAAAATCCAATACAACCGCACTGATGTAATCCAGTTACCATCCAATCATATATACATATATATATATATACAAATGTGTGAATAATTGGTTGAAATGTACAAATAGCTGGTTCCAGATATTGGATGGATCCAACCTGATTCAATAACCAATAGTAACATTCAATGGATGGAACCGATCCAATCCAACGGTCAATTGGATTGGATTGGATCAGTTTTCCACAGTTAATTGGATTGGACCGGTTGTAAAATCAAACATCCAATAGGCAACGAATACTTGCATTGGATTGATTACATCCAAAAACATTGGATATGAACCGATGATTACCCCTACCTCCTCATATCAGAAAATTTGTAACTAAATATAGTTATAATAAGAAAAATAGAACAAATATTTGTTTAAGGTACACCAAAATTGTCAAAGCATCAACAAATTCTTAAAATGAAGAAAATGGAGGTTTTGGGCAAATTTTTGCTCCAACAGATTCCCCAAAATGGAGAAAGCATGAGAGTGAGAAATTCTCCAAATTTGGAGAACTCCCCAAAAATGATTACCATGAGAGAAATACACTTTTTATTATATACCCACCAATAAGACACATTGATCTCAAATGTTTATAAGAGAGAAATAATATTTTATAAAATGTATAAAATATTTTAATAATATAATTAATGTTGTAATCTCCAAAATAGAGAATCTATTTCAGTTGAATGTATGTTTTTCGGAGATTTTGAGTTTCGATTCTCCATTTTGGAGAAATTTTGGAAAATCTGTTGGAGATGCTCTCATAGTATTGCATTTGGCATGTTTAGCATGTTAACTGAAGGGAAGAGACAAAAGTGAGAGGCACTAAGCTCATAGGTGGCACATATTTAATATGATGCATTACCTCAACAACAAACTTGAACGCGCATGCGACATTGGCATTGCTGCTGACAACAATCACAATGTAAACATTGCTAATTCTCATATAGAAGAAAGAGCAACCTCCAATCTGCCGCACAGGACATGTGCCTAGTTCCTTTGTTTGCATTATGTGCATTCTAAAGGCATCCACCATATTTCCCCTAAAAAATGCAAAAATAGAAAACAAATAAAAGCATGAGCACCATAAAAATGTATTTTAGGCATTTAAAACTTTAAAAAGGCTCGGGTCTGTGATATAATCACTAATGTACTCAATTAGATAAGCAAGTTCACAAGTCACGTAGAAAAACGAAGGCTTTATTGGTTGACTGTTTGAACTTAACAAACGCACCACTATATCAGAGTTCAGTAATTTCATACTGTAGAACTCTAAAATAATGTTTGCTAAACAAGTAAACTAATTACTAAACCCACAGTCTATATACACATAGATGTTTGGTAAATAATAACATGCTAAAATATGGAAGGGAACAGACAGTGCATTCAGACTTAGTCAAGACAATGTCACAAAGATTGATGTTTAAAAACAGCAGGAATATGGCTAACAGAAGGTACTGATTGAAGTCAAATCAGATCACCTTTCTCAAAAGCTAATATCATCTGAAGTCTCTAAAGGAGTTAAGCAACTGACATGTGGATTATATTAGGAGGTAAGCTCCTTTTGATGGATAGCTACATCAGCTATTACACCTCTAACTGAAATTATCCCAGTGATCTAGCCTAGTGGCAAATCGTGGGTGTAAGCCAATTGTGTCAGGTCCCAGGTTCAAGTCCGGGCATCACCCTTTGCTACTTGGACTTGCGCGACTTACCTCCCCCATGATGACTGGAGGAACAGTACAGTGGGGGGCGCTCCAGAGGTGGGGCATATACCCTCTTTTCTCTAATTGGAACTTCATCTGACATTTATTTCAAAACCCTCAGTTGTCAGAAGGTTCTCCTACTTGAAACAGTTCTTGTCTTACCTTATCTGTTTACAAAGATCATTTAGTTCTTGCGGCCAGTGGAGTTTTTATTTATAGTTTTCACTAGCCTGGAGAACTTTGAGAACCAATAGATAAGAGGACACTGTCACACAACGTCTGAGGAGAGTTTTCTAATTGGAAATCAATTTCTATGGCTTAAAAGGCAGTGTATGTAAAAAGATTGTCAATCTACTGCAAAAGTTACACTTAAATAACTAGCAATAAGCATGTCAATAGTGTCACTTATGGTACATCAATTGCAAAATATTGATATACAAGAAGTAAATAACATTATTGTGTAATTTTCAACCAGCCCACGCCACGCCAACCCCCAAATAGAAGCACTTTTAGTGGCGACAATGGTAATGGGTCTATCACATAGTCATATCATGAATAAATAAATAAAAATACTTCCTTGAGACACAGACTGAGTTTATTTATCCCCAATTGAGGTTGATTATAGAATATGGAAAAACAACTACAAGTTTGAATCAAGATGAAATCGAACACACTTTGTATACATTACTTCTCATGATTACAACTAGTAACGACAACACTCTAATTTAGCTCATAGCAACCATGGAAGTAGTATCCAACAGCCAGGTAATGCAATATGACGCCCACCATATAGTCTTGGCAATGAAGAGTCCTTCACTATGTGCTATTATATATCTAATGTATACAATGCCGTTAAGCACAAATATTCCAACATAAAACCATCAAAAATTAAAAAAAGTATATTAAATATAGAGAGTGTAGTATATTACACTTCATGTTCATAGACTTCAAGAAAGCATATGATAGTGTACCACGGAATATGATTTGGACAGGTTTGGAAAAGACGGGGGGTACGATGGAGGTATGTCAAGGAGATTCAGGATATGTACGGTAGATAGGGGATGTGTATAAGGACACTGGTGAGTGACAGAGAGTATTTTCCACCAGAGATAGGGCTATACCAAGCATTGGCATTAAGCTCATTCCTATTTGTTGCGACTCTGGATGAGGCTTCCTGAGGAAGCCAGTGAACTGTTCCATGGTTTATGTCACTCACGGATGACATTGTGCTGGTAGTGAAGTCAAAGGTGGAGGTGAATGAGAGATTGAAGCAGTAGAGGGTTGCTTTATTGAAAGTATATCTACGAGGAGGTGGAAGTCAATATCGAGGGGCAAAGGGTACCCCAAAATGATTGTCTTAAGTATCTAGGCTCCATGATTCAGAAAAGGTTGAGGTCAAGGATGACATAACACATCGCATAAAGACGGTGGTGTGGCTAAAGTGGAGAGCTGCCACGGGTGCTTGTGTGACAAGAAGGTCTTGCTAAAACTGAAAGGAAAATTTTACAGCATAGCCATCAGGCCCACTATGTTGTATGGGTCGAAGTATTGGGCGATAAGAAAGGCCCATGAGAGAAAAATAGAAGCTGCATAAATGAGAATGCCTAGATGGACCTGTGGTAGAACCACGTTGGACAAAATACCAAATGGAGTCTTCTAGGCAGTGCTGGGAGTTGTGCCTGTCATGGATAAGCCAAGGGAGGGAAGATTGAGGTGGTTTGGTCATGTTCGTATGCAAGAGATGACGACAACCAGTGAGGAGGGTAGAAATTTTGATGATCGACAGGGCGAGGAATAGGCCAAGAAGGACGTGGGATGAGTAACTGAGATTGGATATGGAAGTTTTAGGCAGTTCTGAGGACATGACCTCTTATTGAAGTTCTTGGAGAATCAAGACGAGGGTACCGGACTAGGGGGGTCTAGAATAAAGAAGAGAGGTGGATAGGTACAGGGTAGGGGATTTGGTTAGTGAGGGTGTGTTGGTTCCGCACCTTGGGGACGTTTTCTTTTTCCTATGCTTGCTTTTGTTTATATTGTTGTTGCCTACTTCTTAACTAGTTTCCCAAAATTTAACATATTTGTCTCTCTCTTTCTAGTTTTAGTCTTGTTGTTTTTTCTTATCTAGCTTTCCATTTTTCAGCATATTTGTTGTCATCCCTTTCACACACTTCTCACTAGTCGGGGGTCGGGGAAACAGCCCTCTACTCTGTTGGGTAGAGGTCAGGTTTGTGTACATCTTAACCCCCCCCCCCCTAGCGTGGGATCCTACCATCGGGTGAGATATATTGGGCTTGGTTGGTTTGGTTTATTAATTACAATTGAAATATGCCCACATTCAACATATTAGGACACTTGATGCATGTTATAAATTAAAATACATAATATATCAACTAGATATTAAGACCTAGAATTTAATAATTAAAAAACATACATACCACGTAACTACTATATTTCCTGCCTAGAATCTAGAATTTATTTTCATACTAAATTGAGGGCTAAAAGTTCCAACTGAAAGTATTGTGGCTTCAATCACATGCACATCATGATAAAGAATTGTACAATGCTTTGGATTAGGTAATTTTAACTTTGGAAGAAAGAATAAATAAAAAGTAAATGCAAACACATACTTGCTAGAGAAAGAAACTCAATAGTTGTGATGTGAATTTTGAGTTTCCTTATTAGTCTCCGCATCTAGTCATCTAGTAGTTCGTCTTACTGATCCACTGCCCAGCACACGATGGGTTAGGGCTTTAAGTTGGTTGTCTTAATTGATTTAGGTAGATGTGCTTTTTGTTTATCCATTTAGCTTTTCTTTTTGGAGTAAATTTGAGCTGACAATGATGTTAGAAAACCGCCATTTCAACCCATATCGGACATGGCATGCAACGAGTTACAAGCTGATCATCATTAAACCCACATCAAAGCAAGAGGATGCCATGCTATTTGAAAACTGCTAGGAAGACAGGAAAAAACATCCTGACAACTCTTATTTAGCTATAAATGTCCATTAAGTCAGCAAGCAGTCTATGACAATATTTAGTGCAGGAAAGTTGCACATTGTGCAACCCCCTTTTACATATAAAGACGATGCAAGAACGCAATTGAAGAGTTAAGCTATGAGGTCATGGAGTCATGTATCGCATAAATGATAAAACTACAGTAACATGTTACAGAACAGTTTTTGGGGAAAACGAAAATTTTAGGGTTTGTATGTTCAAACAGATATGAAATCCAGTTAATAAAAGCATTAAGAATTAAAATTCATCTTGTTCAAAGGCTTGTGCATGACCTGTTCACTTGAAGAGATGAGTTATGCTTACAATCCCTAGCTTTGTTGCTTCACATACCTTTTATGAGCGATTAGCCCAAACCAAAGTTAAATACTGATGCATGGGATTTGTGGTTAGGAAATTATAATCCAAGTATTCCACCATAAAAATCAGCACATAGCAACAATTGTTGTATTTGAATCTCATCATAGGCTATAAATAAATAAAAAAACAACTCAACAAAAAGATGTCTTGATAAAAAAACTATCATAATTGTCTCTAAACCATATTACTAATGACCACTATAAAAATAAAATAAAAATTCTAGAGCACCATCCAAAATTGCTTTTCAAAGCAGCTTCCTCTCTTTTGTACTTATGCCATATACATATTTTCGATACACAATATACTCCTCCTTCCCAAAAAGAAGAGACATTTTAACTTCGAAAAATCAGGCATGTTATTTTCAACCGTAAAATTGTTGTGCAGTGAAACTTGGAGAGAGACAAGAGAACCTTGTTAAGCTTTATAACAAGTACTACGCGTTAAAAATTGTTGGTTAAACAAGTAACAAACAATATATCACCCCTATTTGATAAGTTCTAGATGTGACCTCAAAAAGCTAAATGAATCTCTTCTCTTCATTTTAATTAAATGGAGTGTGCATATAATAACATGTAACAAGAGCAAGATCATCTAATTTATTGAATAGCATCCAAAAACTGTAAGGATAGGCACCAGTCTACAGAATGAATAAGAGTACTACAGCAAATATACTATAGTAACTGTTTCCGCCCGAGAACGATAGCTGTAGTTTGGATCATATTCTAAATGATCATCATTGGCACCAAAACAGATTGATAGAAATAGAGTAAAAGGGCAAATACATCAAACCAAGGGTCAACATTGACACCTCAGTACAAACCTTGCAGGGTGCTTGTACAGCTGTACTACATTTGTTTAATGATTCAGGCCTCTGATGACTAGTGTACATGAGCGACAACTGACTACCCATGTCACATTTTTATCTGACACTTGAGGAGTAGCATATATGAACTAATGAACCACAGGTGGCAGAAATAATGATATGTTTACTGACCACCAGATGTAGTTCTCAGCAAGAATGAGAAAACTGTCAGAAGGGGAAAAATCAGAACAAGTTCAAACTCACAGGCGAAGGCATCGCGATTCTGACTTGACAAACAATTAACTTACCAATAACTCCATAAAGTTACCAATTTGACAATCATGGATCGTTCCCAAAGTGGAAAAATTAAGGATTTGAAAGCAATTAAAATAAAGCTTGTCGTGCATCCAATGAAGTTAAGTTCATGTCTATATGCATAAGGACACGTGGGCATCTGGAAGAACTAGCAATTGGAGGCCCAAGCATAGATGAGAGACCCCATCCGCAGAAACCAAAGGATTAGAACCCTAGACGTCACACACAAGCAGGAACAGAGACCTAAGTCAAACCGTTTCAGTTTTCAACAAACTTTTCTTCGTTGTTCAATTCTCATCAATCCCTTATATTTGTATGTTTTATACAGCCTTTCTTCTATTTTTATGCAAATTGCATTTCTTGTAACCCAATTTTAGTGAGATTTTAAGCGTTTTGCGCTGTTTTGTTACTTACATTTACTCCAAACCATGCAGTTGACTATGAAGCATACAATAGCAAAACACCAATCAACAATAGCAGCCTCGACCTTACAAATTGATACGAAGATTAAGAAAAAAAGTCTAAGGAATTGATTCCCTTCCTCGATCCATACAAATTGTTCTTTTAACACAGTAAACGATCATAGGTTGAGATATATAACACAAACAATCAAACACTGCAGAGAGATAGTAGAGAGACAGAGAGCTAACCCAACATCATCACGATAGAGACGATTGATGAGAACATCACCACGGAGATTTAAAAAGTAGATGGCGGAAGCAGCCACCGGCATCTCTGAAACCGATCAAGGGGTTGCTCCAATTCACAAATTGACAACACACATAGACTACAATCTGATCAGATCTAGGGTTTTCAATTCAAAATTGGGATTTTTTATTTCTTCTAGGAACGCTTCAATGGAGTCTCCGATACTAGTAGACGGAAGCAAATAAGGGCAGTCGCCGGTCAGCACAAAATGCATACTCAGGTTTGTGTAAGTTACAAAATTAACCCCTTTACTATCTATAATACTTTACAAAGTCTTAAGTACAAGTTTTGAATAAGAGATTACTATCATTTTATGCAACAAATTCAAAAAACTCTTAATTACAAATTATTATGCATAATATAAAAGTTGTTTATGCAACGGTTTCCCACAACACCAAAAGTTTTCTTCTTCTTTTGTATCCTTTCTCTGGGACCAGCAAAACCAAAAACATTTTTTGGTTAGAAAGAAGAGGTTTTTCTTCTTCACATACCTCGTTTGACATAACAATGGTGGTGTGGATGTATCACCTCGATGTATCTTATTTCATGTATCAAAGGGATTTGATGTATCACAACCTCATTGATACATATAGCTCCCTCCTCCCTGTTGATTTAATTTCACAGGTTCTTCAAAACCCTAAAACTTGGATGTATGCTTTTCTTTTTTGTATGCTCTATTTCAATTTTGATTTCTGCAACCACTTCTGATGAGATTTTAGCTTTTTTTTCTTCTCTTTGGTTTAACGATTGATGAAGCCAAGGTTATTTACAACTTAGAGGTAAGAATCCTCTTTTGCATCTCTTTGTTGTAATTGGTAATTTTGTTGATCATGTTCAAGTTATTTGTGAAGTTTGGTTATAAACAGTTGTCATCCTCATTTCGTTTTTGTCTGTTTCCATTTCATCTTATACACACACTTTTCTGGCTACATGTTTGGGACTGCATTTTGTTTCCATTTCATTTTTGGGCATTTGGCAAAAAAATAGAGTATCAGTTTGGAGTTATCAAATGTATATATACATGATTCTTCATTATGGTAAATTAATAATAGGTTAGTTGGTTTTATTGCTTGAACTTTCTTATATTCCTCTACTACTAACATTTCTTACTCGGTTGATTATTTGGATAATTTTCCGGTATGCATTCTTGATATCAAACAATTTTTGTTTTTGATAATTTTTTTTTCAAATTGTTGGTTTGGTTGATTATTTGGACTAGACTGGTTTGGTTTGTGCTAAATTACAGCTTTACAACATGAAAATATAAACTTATTCATGCTATAAGAACAAAGTCATAGTCCATGGTTCAGAACCTGCTTTCCAAATACCATGGTTCATAATTTGTTTTCCAATGCATGTTATGAACTATTGTTCTTCTTTTGATTTCATTTTTGTCTGTTTCCATTTCATCTTATACACACACGCATACACATCCCGCCACATGTTTGGGACTGCATTCTGTTTCCATTTCATCTTATACACACACATATACACATCTGGCCACATGTTTGGGCCTGCATTCTGTTTCCAATTCATTTTTGGGGATTTGACAAAAAAAAGGAGAATCAGTTTGGAGTTTATCAAATGTATATATACATGATTCTTCATTATTGTAAATCAAGGTTAGTTGGTTTTATTATTTGAACTTTCCTATATTCCTCTACTACTAACATTTCTTGCTCGGAAGAATTTGGATAATTTTTCAGTCTGTATTCTTGATATCAAAACAATTTTTGTTTTTGATATTTTTTTTTCAAATTGTTGGTTTGGTTGATTATTTGGACTAGACCGGTTTGGTCTGTACTAAATTACAGTTTTACAACATGAAAATATAACTTATTCACGCTATAAGAACAAAGTCATAGTCCATGGTAAACCCTGTGCTTGCTGGTAACCTCTGAGCCTGTTGGAGCAACTGGTAAACCTTGTGCCTGTAGTTTCTTTATAACTTGGAGCAACTAGTAAACCTTGTGCTTGCTGCAAACAAACTGTTTGATATAAAAAAAATATGCACAGTTGGAGGGGCAGGGGTTTAGTATATTTTATGTGAGGCCACTCTTCGTTTTTTTCTTATTTATGTAAGATGAAAATCGAAATTCATCTATGTCTATTAATAAAAAAATGTAATGTTTTTATATATTTATTTAATTAAATATTTTTTTAAATGTGTATCAATTAAAAAAATTTATAAGATGATTATTTTTTTCAAAACATCGACTTAAAACTATCTTAATGAAAATAAATAACCAATTAACAACCATATATTTTCATTGTTTTATACTAAAAATGTTTATCTATATTTCTTTTTATTTAAAAAAATAGAATATTTAATTTAAATGCATATTAAATATTAAACTATATTAGAATTTAATGTATTTTAAGTATTAAACTATTTTTGAAATTAATTAATTAATATAGTTTAATTAGTAAACTATATATAGTTCAGTTAAATTATTAAAACTAATTTTCCATTACTAAAGATTAAATATATGAAACTTTGTGGTTATTAATTGGCTATTTATTTTTCATTACGATATATTTAAGTTGATATTTGTAGCATCCTTCGTTCTCGTGGTTCGGAACGGGCAGTGTCATTAACGAGACTTAATTTAAAGACACAAACATTACAGAGTTATTAATAAATTCCAAACATAAATTAACTTTTGAAACATGTTTTACAACCCAAAATATTACATTCCAACAACTATTTATAAGCTTAAAATATAATACATCTACAAATGAGTTTACAAACTCCAAAAATTAAACGCTCGATCTCAAGTTTCGTTCCTATCAGTATCATTTGGAACCTGTCATGTTAGAAAACAAGTACATGGTTGAGCATGAGGCTCAGTGAACAGATTATAATATAAACTTGAAATAATAATATATAACATCGATAATAAAACGGAAGACTTAAAAATCAATTAAATTGAATTCATATAAAATCAAGACGTTTCACAATTCTCATTTCGGAACATCATTTGAACAAAATCCGTCAATTCCTGTAGTGTCCGTGAGGTGGCCAAACCACACGAACTATCGGGCCGGTGTGTGAGCACACACCCCGAGTCCCCCGTGAATTTAATCACGGTCACATGGTGGGTAATCCTAGGATCGATCCATTCGCCATGGAGTCAATAAAATCGGCCTAGTCCACAAGGTGGGTTCACGTAAATCACTATTGGACCTACCCCTATGGACCTAGTTCACCTGCAGAACGTCGTGACTACAAAACCTCCATAAAAGGCATCCCAAATAATGTGCCCATTAATTGGGTTGTTATGAAAACCAATAAAACTAAACATGTGTCATTACCCGGATGACGTTCATAAAAAGTCAAGCTTCAAAGTAATTCATAAAATTCAAAACTGCTTCAAAATATGATAATCAATTTAACAAACTTAAAAGGTTCGAACATACAATTCAACGGAGTAAACTCAAATGTTCACAATAAAGATTCAAGAGTTTTTATATATATAAACACGTAATTTGTTGACCACTTTTAAGCGATCAATCACAAGGTGGTGAACCACCATTACGAATGGTCAATTACAACAACTAGTTGCCCAAGAGTCAAAGAAAATGAAATGCATACCTTAGGCAGAATAGAGAAGTAAAGCACGATCAAACGAGATTCATGGTAAAGTTCGACTTGCTTGCGTGCCAAACGAATGTGCAAATCGGTTATTACTTAAACGACGTAAAACCATATCCTAATTCTACTAATAAATTAATTAGGTCCTACATGTTTATAAACAACTTAAACTTCAAATAAGACAGTCGGATATGCATTAAGAAATCGACTCAAAATTAGCTTTATATAATTCCGTTTTCGGCTTTTAACAACTTTTGACCCTCATATTCGTAAGCATTTTTACCCACTTAGAGGTCAATACATAAGATACTATCTAAATAAAAATTGTAGTATGATATGTGATGAAACTACTAGTTTTGGAATCACCACGTTTAGATTATCCATCTATTTTATACGAATTTTACAAAACAGCAAATTAATCCTAAATACATTGCAAACAGCTTCGAAAACACACTATTTCGATGTAGCGTTTGGTAGTTGTAACTGGATTTTCAATCCTACATGAAAGTTGTAGTATACATTAGGTAGCGTTTGGTACGCAGACATGATTGGACAGGACTAGACAGGACAAGAGGGTAGGACTGGACATGACAAGACAGGACAGGATTAGACAGGACTGGATTGTACAACACAAGAGTATGTCTGGTGTTTGGTACAACTAGGACTGGACGGTGTTATTTGATAATTTTAAATGTTATATAATAGTTATAGTTAACACAAATAAATTAAATAATTAAAGAATTTAATTTATAAATATTTGTACACAATTTTCATATAAATGAATACATACATACATACATATATATACTAGAAAAGTACTCGCGCAATGCAGCGAGACACATCTCGATTTTAATGTTCTATTTTATTATTTGTTTCTGTCGATGTTATAATACGATTTTATGTGTTTGTAAAAAAGCAATAATGATTTTATTTTTGAATAAAATATAAATTTGAAGATATCTTATAAATTTTAAAATATATATATATATATATATATATCAATGTTAATAT